GTTCTGGGATTTTTGCTCACCGTTCTTGTGATCATTTTGACCCAACGGGGTGAGATCTTGCATGGAGCCCTAGATCAAGGGAGATTATCAGTGGTCTTGTATGTCTTCCATTTTCTAATTATTGGTCTTGTATGTCTTCCATTTTCTAATTATTGTTTATCAAATACAGTGGGGCAAAAAAGTATTTAGTCAGCCACCAATTGTGCAAGTTCTCCCACGAGATTATCAGTGGTCTTGTATGTCTTCCATTTTCTAATTATTGTTTATCAAATACAGTGGGGCAAAAAAGTATTTAGTCAGCCACCAATTGTGCAAGTTCTCCCACGAGATTATCAGTGGTCTTGTATGTCTTCCATTTTCTAATTATTGTTTATCAAATACAGTGGGGCAAAAAAGTATTTAGTCAGCCACCAATTGTGCAAGTTCTCCCACGAGATTATCAGTGGTCTTGTATGTCTTCCATTTTCTAATTATTGTTTATCAAATACAGTGGGGCAAAAAAGTATTTAGTCAGCCACCAATTGTGCAAGTTCTCCCACGAGATTATCAGTGGTCTTGTATGTCTTCCATTTTCTAATTATTGTTTATCAAATACAGTGGGGCAAAAAAGTATTTAGTCAGCCACCAATTGTGCAAGTTCTCCCACGAGATTATCAGTGGTCTTGTATGTCTTCCATTTTCTAATTATTGGGAGAACTTGCACAATTGGTGGCTGACTAAATACTTTTTTGCCCCACTGTATTTGATAAACAGCTGTTGCTGTAATTCTTTCATAATAGCTTCATTAGCTTACCAATACTCAAGTCAAACTCAGTCACAAAGGAGTAGAAGGTAGACATTTTCAAAAAGGAATTATAAGTCAGTCATCTTAACACCTGTTTCAGGCAAATTGGTTGAAGGAGTAATCAAAGAAAAAGGAACTAAAAACAAAGAGGAAGACTTGCTGAAGAAAAATTTGCAGATAAATCTTGCCTCACCCACTTTTAGAGTTTTCTGATAATGCCAACAAGTCTTTAGAAAGCCTTTTTAAAGATTTAAGCTCTAAACAAATGCTTTTGAGTAAATGTTGCAGCCAAGGGATGTGAGGACCTGTGCTTTTGCAAATAGCTAACTGGCTAAAAAACAGAAAGCAAAGTAAGAGTTAATAGGCAATTTTTAAATGAAGGGAGGCAAGAAAGGAAGTCCCTTAAGGATTTCTATTAGAACCAGTGGTTTTATGTTATATGAATTTGACTTAGGGGTAAGCCGTGAGCTGACAAAGTTTGCAGATTATATTAATCAACTGAGAGTGGACAAAATCAAAAGCCATTGGAAGGATTGATTTTAAACTGACTGAACACAATTCATATTTAAGAAGTGCGAAGTGATGGACCCTCAGGCAAAAAAACCTAACTTCATTAACACATCAATGGATCTGACCAGTCTGTAACAAACCAGGAAAAACATCTTGAGGTTATAGTGGATAATACAATGAAGATTTCAACTTCATGTGTGGTGGCTATGAACAGCACAAAATTGACACTACAAATCATTAAGGACTAAAAGTAAAAATGCCAACATTGTAATTCCCCTGTACAAATCTATGTATTCCTGTATTTGAAGTTCTATGTACAGTTCTGGTTGCACCTCTTGAAAAAGGATATGATAGAGCAGGAAAAGCTGCAGAAGTGGAGAACCAAAATAATCAGGAGTTCAAACATCTTTCCTGTGATGTAAGGCTACTCTTTAGCTTGGAAAAAAGAGAGGGGACATGATAGAGGTCTATAAAATCATGCATGACATGGAAAAAGTGGACAGGTATTTGTCTTCCTCTCTCAAAATACTACAACCAGGGGTTATCCAATCAAACTAACTGGAAGGAGATTTAAAATATAGAAACGGAAGCAAGTCTTCCCCTAGAACATAATTAACTTGTGGAATTCATTACCACAAGACATGAAGATGGGCACTAATTTTGATGATTCCTAAAAGGGATTAGATAAATTCATGGAGATCTATCAAGTGGTCTTAAAGAATCAATGTTACTTCCAGAATGGGGGTAGCATGTTTCTAAATACTAATTGCAGAAGAACAACAGCAGAAGAAGGATATATCTCCATTGTCTGCTTCTGAGCATGGACACAGTTTGGCCACTATGAAAAACAAAATGCTGGACTAATAAAAGTCTAATCCAAAGGGGCTGTTCTTATATAGATATAAATCCCATCCTAATATAGTGCTTTAGTATAATCCTCTTTTTTTCTGAACAAATAAAAAAATGTATTTATGGAGGAAAGCAATAGAATGTAACCGATCTAAGAACACTTATGAACACAGGCTGCCCTGTATCTGTGATACTGAATGGCCTGGACAGCAACAGAGGAGTGCAACATGTGAGCATTACTTAACACTTTTACCTACATGACCACAATAACTTACTTTGATTTTTTTCATGGTTCCTGAAAAGATGATGTAGGTAAAAGCATTCCTCTCTTTCTGGCTATGTATTTAACATCTCTAAAATGGTAAGTTACAGTATGTCATTTTCTTCTTTTGTTCAAATATTCAGATATGTAATACTGATTTTATCTGGCATTGGAAAGATAGAGGACTCCACATAATACTTTTATAGAAGTCATTTCCAAACATAAGCATCACCAATGTGAAAGCTTGCTACCAATCTAAATTGAAAGCAAGGCATCATAGCATATGGAGGAGAGGAGAGGAGAGGAGAGGAGAGGAGGTGCTATTTAGAATTATGGAGGGTAATTTCAGAACTTCAAAGTGTATCTAGGCACCTATACAGATATACATTAATACACTAGATTAAGGTGTTCAGAATTCTGAATGCCAATTAAAAACTTTGTCGAATAAATTGTCATGTTTGTCAAATATCCACCATCCAAAACTTGTAATCTAACCTGTGCAAGTTTATATTAAAATTTCCAAACATGAAAAAGCATTTAAAGAATTTTAATATTCTGTCTGAATACTTACAATTATTACACTTAATGAGTAGAAGTGAAGATGGTGAGTATAAAATGCAGCAGCAAAGATGCTCCATTAAATATACAAACATTTTAAATATATTAATGAGTTTACCTTTTTTAATGTAATAACTTCCCAAAAGTTACATATCCCTGCTACACATCAAATGGTGCATAGTTAAAAATTACCTGTTTATCTGCAGATGAGAAGTTGATGATAAGTTATGTGGCTTGTAGTTAATATGTGTGTTAACCTGACCTTTCTTCAGTGCTGAAAAATAGTATTTTGTTATTTCAAAACATTTCTTTATACTTTTAAAGATTTATTTAAGTTAAGATTGGTACAGACAGAACCTTTCAGTTTAACACTCATATTTTTGAAATTCAAGGAGAAAGTATCAACACTTTTTCACATTTGTTTTCTAAAATTATCCTTTGAAATTCCTTGATTAATAGTGAATAAGGTACAAGATATTCAACAGATCTTTTCAGATCCCAGGAAAATCAACATAAACTCTTTTAAACCCAGTGATTTCAACAGGAAAAAATATATATGCATTTGATACAGATGTAGGCCAACAATAGTATTTAGCTCACTGAACATTTTCAATTCCATGTTTTATGAAACTCTTCAGAATAAACAGGTTTTTTTGCCACTGGTCACTGGTTTTTCTGCTGGTGAATTACAACTGAAGTGGAGAATCCTCACAAAAAGATCCTGCCAAACTACAATATTAGCATTCCTTATTATTTAGCAATGTTGGCTGGAACTGCTAAGAGTTTAGGTCACCAACACCTGCAAGGCTATGAATTCAACATTCTTAGATTATTACTGTAAACACAGAGCAAGATTTGAAGGAAGCAGAGAAACTGGAATACTAGAAGAAAGACAATGAAAAGCTGGAGTTCTTGATTTCAAATGTATACTGCAATGTGTAACTTAGACTTAAAGAAAAGACATAGTTACTAAACTTCTATTTTGGCTCAATCTTTACCAATAAGAAGTACTAGACAACTGAAATAGAGCTGATATTGCCTAATCTCCAAGGAAAAGCAAAAGGAACTAAAGGTAGTCCTGGCTTAATGACCACAATAGAGACCTGAAAATTGGTTGTTAAGTGAGTCACCATGTGGCCAGACCCAATTTTATGACCATTTTAAAATAGTCATTAAGTGAATCACTGGTCATTAAGTGAATCCAATTTCCTCAATGGACCTTTTTGCCAGAATTCACTTAATGACCACATGATTCACTTAATGACCACGATTTGCTTAACAGTCATGGTGATTTGGTTAATGACCATCATAAAAAGGTTGCAAATCATGATCACATGACCACTGGGGGGGTGAAACAGTTTGCAATGGTTGTAAGTATGAGTACAGGTTGTAAAGCACTTTTTCCAAGGCAGTCATAACTTTGAATTGTCGTTAAACGAATGGTTGTTAAGTGAGGGCTACCTGTATAGGCCAATAAGTCTGGCATCAATACCTGGAAAGATTCTATAGCAGATCAGAAAAAAAATGAGCCGTAAGCCCCTTTGGAGCAATGTGGTAATTACTAAAAGAACAAGTCTTAGCCAACTAACCTGTTTAATTGGTTAACTTCCTTAGTAGATTGTGGGAATTTTGTAAATTTCAGCAAAACATCTGATTAAGTTTCCCATGACACTATCGTTTAGCAAGCAAGTTAACTGTGGGTTCAATTGCATGATCTTTAAACGGATACTGAGCTAGTGTGAAAAATGTGCTCAGAGTGCTCATCAATCGCTATTGAGTTAACTGGACTGAAGTTATCAAGGGTGCACCATGCAAATCAGTCCTGGGCCCTCTGCTCTTCAACACTTTTATTAATGACTTAGATGAAGAGGTGAACAGAGTGCTTATCAAATTTAAGATGGAAGGAATTTAAGAAGATAGAAATAAAATTCTTAAGAAGTTTGATAGTTTAGAGAAACAGACTGAAAATAATAGAATGAATTCAAAGTTGTTCCCATAGAATACAAAATACAAATGCACAGGTAAATGATAGGGGATATTTGGCATACTTGGCATAATAATAGTACTTGTGAAAAGGATATTGGAATAGTGAAGATGATTATAGACTGCATATAAATTAGCAGTTGTAATGTGATTGCCAAAAAAAAAAAAAAGCCACATGCAATTTTAGGCTACATCAACAGTGTGTTCAGTTCAGTGCACATTTTAAGAAGGTTTCAGAGAAACTGGAACAGATCAGAGAATGACTACAAGAATGTTCAAAAAACTGGAAACTAAATCCTTGAAAGAGATATGAAGACATTGGGAATGTTTAATTTTGAGAAAAGGGGATATAACAGCATCTAAATAAATCATCTTTACTTGATATGCTCAAGTGGAGACCAGACACTTATCTATTAGGATGCTTTAATTTGATTTCCTGAACTAAGCAGGAATTATACTGCAGAGGTTAATGGCCTCTTCCAACTCTAGCTACAGATAGTCCTCTTTAGCAACTGCCTCATTTACTGACTGTTCATAGTTACAACAGTGATGAAAAAATAACTTTATGATCAATCCTCACATTTATGAACTTTGGAGGTCTGTAAAGCAAAGGAAAGCTGAAGTAAGATTGTAAGCACAGTCATGGTTTCATTTAGTGACCGCTTCACT